AAAAAAAAGAGAAAACCAATGAAGTGAAAACTCAAGAAGTGGGGAGAAACACTCGACTACGTCTCGTGTTTCTCCCTACACTTCTTTCGTGCTCTAGCCGCTTCCTGCGTGCTCTACTACAGAACAGAGCACAGTCAAGGCTTCTCTATTTGTTAAATAAAAGATTGAATGATAACATAACATGGCAATTAAAGGTCATTCTTAGGCTGCCTTACGACGCCAAATCTTAACGGAATTAGGCTTGTCTCAAAATGGCGCGGAGCACGACTAATGTGTGAATGAACCGTTTTCTTTAAATTTCCCTCGTATTTTCTTTTTTATCAATCTTCTTGGCGAAACTGTATTTAAGTATCCGCAAATTTTCTATCAATCACTTGCCCTTTCCCTTGCAAGTTTGAAGGTTTCTTTTCCATGAATTAACCCATAGGCTACATATCTAGGGAATAAATCGTAGACAAAAATTTATTTTAGATAAAACTCGTACTGCTAATTCTTTTTTCTTTGTTGTTGTTTGAATATATTTAAAGATTCCTCTAAGGAAATTGAAGCTAAATGGCGCTTCATCTTCAAGGCTCATTGCAATAATACAACCTTGGTAAAAAAAAATCGAAAAATTGGAACAAGAATGATGCATACAGGGATGTCAGCAATTTTTTCCTGTTTACCAAAGGATTAAAGCTAAAATCAATTCTGTTTTCCTGCAACTTCGCTATGGGAACAAGTCATTATTTACTTCCTGGGAGGGAGGGGGTGTTGAGGATCACATGGTTTTCACAAGGGAACGAGAGAGGGACCGGACGTCGCCTACAGGATATAAAGTGGTGGTCTGAGATAAAGGCCCTTGGGGTCTGTCTAGCTCATCTTAGTGGTGGCACCAGCTACTGAAAACCGGAACGCCAACCGTGGCGTTCAAGGCTCTCAGTTCAATTAAGGCTAGCAAGTCCCCTGGTCCTGACCAAATTCCCTCACGGGTCTGGAAAGAATTTGCACAAGAACTGGCCCCGGTTGTGAGTGACCTATATAACTGTTCCTTACGCGAAGGGTGTGTTCCCGATGTATTGAAGACTTCCATCGTAACCCCGACCCCCAAACTATCCCTGCCAATGCGGTTGGAAGAGGATTTGAGACCAATCACTCTAACATCACCACTGGCCAAGGTCCTCAAAGGGTTTACTCTGGAACACCTGATGAGCCAAGTAGCAGAGGGCCTGGACAGTATCAGGCAGATCGACCACACATGTCTTGATGTATATGTTCCATATGTAAGCTTTATTTGTTAGAGCAGGTCAGTGCTGGCAGCCTTACGGCTGATGTGGACCTGCTATTAACCCACCCATCCCACCCCAAGGGAGGACATCCATCACACTGTAATCTCGTGCGTGGAGACGGGACTTCCATTTATTCATCCCTATCCGAGAAGACTATAATATCTAACCATTTCTTGATGTTATAGAAAGGTAGCATATTCTCCTCATTTTATTTTGAGACCTTGAGTGTTGTTCCGGCCGGGGCTCGAACCCTCAACCTTCCGCACAACAGTTCAGAGTGTTCCAGATTCATGGAGGACTGAACCTATAAGTTACATCCTTCCTCGCGCCACAGAGGTCCATCGCGATTATTCTTTGCGAGCCGCTAATGCTCGAGTAGATCGTTTTAGGGGGGGTCAAAGACAGACTTAATAATTTTGTTACTGTTCGTTATCAATAAGATGTATATTTAATGTTGTACCAATGTAATACTGACCCATACTATAATTCAGCCTTAGCTGTGAGAGTATGGAATTAAACGATCATCATCATCATAATCATCATCATCATCATCATCATCATCGAAGGAGCATACACTAGGGAGAGTTGACTGCCAATGAGAAGAGGAGTGGGGGTATTAGAAAATTATTAAACCTGTAACAACTAGAATTTGCATTTCTGTTTATCTTCAAGTGAGCAACGGCTAAATAATTTTATATTGTTTTTCTTTCTACTATACTTCTATTGTAATATTCTGTCTCTATTCAATAAAGTTAACATTTTTGCGTGAGGTCATGTAAGAGTTACGTAACACTGGTAGCTACTTATTTTCACCAGTTTCCGCGTTGTTTTCGTAAGATAATTGCTAATCGGTCAGTCGTTTCAAACCTCTTTTTAATGCCCTGTTGTTTTTATTCAGAAGTTTACTGCCGGACCTGGTTACGCCTTCAAATTGTAAGTCAGGTTTTCTATCTATTTTGTGTGTGTGTGTGTTTTTTTTTTTCATTTTTATTACTTAGATATTTGTATTAATCCTTTATTTCAGTCGAATCACCCACACGTATCTACAAGTATTTGTATCTAAATAGACTTCCATCTGGCAAATAGATTAAATGTGCTTTCACTTAGTGGCGACTCAAGAAGAAAATACAAATGAAAAAATAAGTCGTATTCCGACGAACGCTTGTTGATTGGCGTGGCGCTGTCAGTTGGGAAGGCCGAACAATGCCGCACGCTTTTATTTTAATTTTACTAAATACATTCAAATAGGTCGTGATAGTAATAGGGTCATTTTTATTTTTTTTGTTAAGCGCTCGCAGATGTCGGACTTATGAGTTTTCTGTCGTTGTGGATTCGTTTAAAACACAATTTCGTCTCGTCGAAACAAGTCGCGTTTTCGATGAATAAAGCAATATTCCTCCTTCGTCATTATCAACATCAAGTTTTTGAAAGACGGTCCCCCCCTGCCACACTTCACCGTCTTTGCACGACATTTCGCACAACATGACACACAGAGATCCGTTTTAAAAAGACACTGAGGTCAATTAAAAAAAATGTGAAATCAAATGTGAAATCAAATGTAATAATGATTGGTTACGTATGCTTGTCATGAACCTCGAGTAATCGACACTTGAATTCTATTCTGTTAGTCAACCTTTGTTTGTTTGTTTGTTTGTTTGGTTTTTGCATCGGGTTATGCTTGTAGTTTAGTTGAGTAGTGCTAGATTAGGCTACATATCACCTCACGCTGGAGTTCATTAGGGAGTGACGATTACGCCGCCGTAATAGCTAGGTAATAGGGAGTTTAAGCAAATTACTACGGCTGGCGCTGCTACGGCTACCGGAAGTAAAATTGTCCAGAAACGAGTCATTGCGCATGTCAGTGGTTCCCATCCAGCCGTAGCGGGAAATCCTTCTACGCGAGTGGGAAGGTTTCGGCGTAGTCTGTGGTACGTGAACTTATCTCGCTTCTTTCTTCGCTTTATACTTTCTCCTGAGCAATTTTAATTATTGAAATACACTTAACATCTTTAAAAATAGCTTATCGGGAATATTTATCAAGCTTGCTGTCCCTTACCGAGTGAATCTGCCTTTATTTTTGCCGCCGGGTTTGTCGAAGGATCGAAGCAGTGTGCATATGGAGAACGCAGCGAACGCAAGGAGAAATGCGTAGGTAGAAAGTCTAACTTTTCCTTTTCAAACCTCAAAGACTACTTGAAATTCAAATAGCTGAAGCCGAGGAATGACGAGGGTTATGAGGGACCGTGAAGAAACTTTGCTTTGGTGTTTATAAGCTCCAAACTGGCAATTTTACAACACGTAAGCTAAATATTTTAATTCACTCATTCACTGTGCTCAGGAACGCTTACAATTTTTTTTTCCAAACGTTAGAATCCCTCGTCCCTTTAAACGAAGTCATTTTGAGTTTTTAGACGTGCAAAAACTACCGCGAAGACGCTTAATTTATTGGTTTTAAACTTCTCAGCCGTACTAGGTTTGTAGTTCGCGTTGCTTAAAAGTTGAATTTTGGCGGGCTTCGGCGACGTACTCTCCCCAAGCCTCGTCAACCACGATAGCCGTAGCAGCGCCAGCCGTAGTGATTTGCTTAAACTCCCTAATATGGCTGTTATAGAGTGGAACCACTATTGCAACGTGGAATTAATTAGTATAAAATTAGTAAAGAAGGAAGCCACCGTTTTAACGCTGATTTATGTTCGGAACTCTATCCACGAATAAATGTTCGGGAGAAATAAGAATTTCAAAACTTTTTTCAGCTCATTTTATCATTTCTGAATAGATAAATCGACAAAGCAGCCAAAAGAGCAAGATTTGAATGTTTTTTAGCGATGAAATTGTGAATAACTAAGTGAAATTCAACCTCAAGCTATTAAACACACTTGGCTCAATCAACTGTTTGCATGACAAGTTGCCTTTAATTTGCATTCGGTACCACGCAAAGCAAATTTAAGACAAAGACAGCGAACGTTATTTGAGATGCATTATTCTGAATCAAATTTTTCCCGCACGTTCAACTGCGTTTAGTTTAGTGATTTAGTCCTTAGCCATTACCCAACATTTTGTTTAAGAGCTTCCTTGGTGGACTAGGTGCCATTTCGACGGTTCACTGATAGTTGAAAGATTGTTTTAGTCAAGGAATTAGATTTCTGTCATTACTCAGAGAAAATACCTAAATTGCGTAAAAACGGTAAAACAGACATGCAAAAATGAGCGAGTATCTTAAACAGGAATCTTAAAGTAGCTTATATTTCAGAAGTCAGTTGAATTGCATTAACCAATAGTTATTTCCTTAGCTTGTTCTAAATACGTTGTCGTTGTAAGATGGGGGCTAAAATTAATGACAGCATAGCGGATTGAGAAAGTAATGAGTGGGATGCTTTAATGGACCAAAGAAGAGAAAAAAATGAGAAGACGTCTTCCTTTTTTTTTTAAAATAGTTTCCGTGAATTGTTCATTTCTTAGTGGTCACCTGCTTTCTAGATAACCGTGTATTTATTTTTAAGGAAGTTTTGAAGCGTTCAGAACCTCACTCTACAACCAGCGCGTTCCTTGCTCTAGAGTAAGAACGGAATCTAAAAAGTCCTAACATTCCTGTGAAAAGGTATGACGCAGCGATTTTCTCTATTTCTTCCTTTCGTTTTCACAGCCATTTAAGGTTGATCGTGTTATGGTAACGAGTAGATTCATCCTGAAAATATCTTAAAACTCCGATTTTTGAGAAAGAAAGTGTTCGTTTAACAAAGTGCGAAAGAAAAATATCCCCGAGTTCGTTCTCAACTTGATTCACCCTTAACTGTCTTTATCTAAAACTCATTGCAAATGGAAAAATACTGTTGATGATAACGGTACCAGCCCATTTTAGATTTTAGATTGAGAACAAACATCATAGTTTTTGTTCTTTCATGCTGACTGGGATTTTTCTTTTTGCATGTGGGCGCTATTATTTGACGTTTTCAAAGGCCATCATAACAGCCTAATGAGCGAGGCATTTTTAAGTTATCATCAGAACGTGACATACTCTAAGTTTAGCTATATTTATCGTTGCGTTCGATTCTAAATGTACTTGGGTTGCTGAAAGCCGATGCAGTTAATACGTGCAAAATAAACCAGAGGTTTAGCGATGATTACAAAGATAATCGAAAAAACACGACAATTATTCCATATCACCTTAAATTACATAAGCAATAATATTTAGACATCCCTGATCAAGTCTTATGTATAAAAAACGACTGAGATAGAAATTTATTTTCTTAATTATTTTGTGTATTCTTTCTTTTTTTCTAACATTCATCAAAGTTAATTATATTGGGCTCCAAAGACCCATCAACGCACACTTCCATCAAAACAAAAAAAACAAAACAAAAAAAAGAGATTCATATATTTAAACAAGAAATTTTTATTTAAGCGAAAAATGGTAAGCATAAATACATGTACACTTAATTGCAATGATGTTGTCATATGAAAGTGAAAGGTGCCTTAAAATGGCCAAACAACGATCAATTTCAAAAAGATCTTTGCCAAGATGCAGGTTTAAGATGAGACTGATCAAAAAAGGAAAATAAAATAACTCTGAAAATTATTCAAATTTTACGACTTGATACAAGGGCCAATTTAGTTTTTCTTTAGAAAATCTTTTGGCAAACTTTTTCACGACAGGTTCACAGATATTTAATTGCTCGTTTCTCGGTATGTTTTTTTAACATCAACGCCAGCTTGCAAAGCCTTTTATCCTCGCCGCAATCTTAATTCTTTTAAGGAATGAATTAAATATAACTCCTTTGATGGTAAAATATCGTGTTATTATTTTATTATGAAGAGATCGTAAATTAACGCTAATGATTCTTTTGCTAATGCTTTACCCATTTCAATTTCTCATTGCTGTCTTTACAGTTTTCACCATTAATATACTTTCATCTCTGTTCAGTTGTATACTTTTTCACACTTTGACTAATCATCTTCCTATTAGGACGTTGCCTATTTACATTGGCTGAGTACAATCCAACCGGAGAAGCAAAGAAGGAAGCTGAACCTGCAATAATGGCGCCCAAGTTTGTTTGCTTGATCTGCGTATTTTTTGTCCTGTTGTCATTTTCAATTGACTCCGACGCCGCTATCATCAGTGGTCCAAATTTTTGCCCCAAAAACGGGTGTGGACGAAGGAGAAGATCAAATACAAAGGTAAGTATCATGACTAAGGTTTAAAAATTTTAAAATTTCTTGTAAAGAATGACTCGAATTTTCAATTTTTTCATGTTGAATGGAAAGCTCGTCTACCACTGGCATTTTCAGTATACAGTGTACTAAGATCCGATTGTCTTCATTTCTATTTTTTTAACCTCTTCTGGAGGTTGGATTAATTTATGTCGCGTTCTTGGAAAGGCTTGTCATTAAGGAGGTTGAAGGCAGCAGAAGCCTTAGTATAAGGAATATTTCTTACATCGAAGAAAAAAAAGTTCCCTCTTTTTTACTTAATCATCGTACCTGATATATTTACTGTTGTTCTTATTTTGTGGTTTCTGCCCCTTGCATCAAACCATGCGTTTCACCCATGTCTTGTAACTTTTTGTTATAGACAAAAGAGCGTTATCTTCTCTCAGAGCGCAGGTTGTGTGACGTTGCCGAACGTATGGGCTGCCGAACCGAACTTTGATCGCAACCAATACAATTTAAAGGTGTCTACCAAAGCTTGAACCATGGATGTTCACATGTTAAAGGATGCGTTGTAAACTAAATAAAGCTCATTAAAATGTTGAATCTATTTTCATTGAAATTTAGCCATGCCAATGAGAATAGTTAGGTATCTGTTTCTTCTAGATTCACCTTAACTGAATATAGCTAGTGTAAGTTACCTTAAGCATTGTAATAAAAACCCCGTTTTAGACTTCAAGTTTATGAAGAGTATCTCTCTTTTTTTTTATCCCAGCCCCTTCCCCCTTTCTTCCTCCCTGATCAAAAACTGTCAAATACTAGTTTAACTGTTACTGTTTTTGACTGGGTAACGCTTCAGTAAAAAAATGCACTTTCATCGTAGGCTTTCGTCTAGTGGAAATTCAAGAAATTAGAGATACCCACACATAATATGGAACGAGTGACAAAAGGCCAAAGATTGGTGAACTACGCTCAAACCTAAATGCAAGTCAAATTACATGCAAATAGATTTTATTTGCTTACACTATGTCAATTTTCACAGATATAACTGTGAATTCAATTTCAAAAGACAAATGTAATGCATTTTAAGTTCGCGATAATATCATGTACTAGTCCTCGGCCTCACATCCAAAAGTTTCAGGATCGCGACAGTCTTCGTGCTGGTAAGAACTCGGCTGGGCCTGCTTCTTCGTCTTTTGCCTCCTATATTTGAAGAAAAACAAATTGGATGATGATCAGTCTATAGAAAAAAAAAATATTAAAATTCCATCGACTGGAAACAAAAAGGGTTCCCGCTACTTACAAAAACCCTTTCAAATTGATAATTACCTGCAAGCTTATGACTATTCTGGAAAAAATTTTCCCTACGGGACTTTAAAAGAAATTCTACCGTTTCTCATCTGTTCAATTTTCCTGAAGTAGCATAGGATATCTAATCTCCTATAATTGACGTGGATTTTGATGTATTCCAATTTCATCTCGCTTTAAAAGAATGTTTTTATTTTGTCATAAATGCTGTTACTTTTTCCTACATCAATTAATACATTGCTTTGATAACAATAATTTTGATTGTTAACTGGAGCATTGAAAAGTGTTTCTCGTACTTTTCTTGCGGTTCTGACGCTGACAGTAACGCTTTTTAGTAATTTTGCAATACTTGATTCATTGTTTTAATTTCAGCTTTAATTCAATGTTTTAAATTTTACGACTTTGAAAGATGCGTATGATGCACGATCCTCGCAGTAGATAGCGTTATTTATGCAATAGCGAAATTCAGACCTGAAAAAAATCAGGCTTGTACGGGACTCGAACCACTGACCTCTGCGATACCAGTGCAGCGCTCTACCAATTGAGCTAACAAGCCAAATGTGAGCAGGCCGTTAAGTTGGTTCGTAATAAACCTAGTATCGCAGAGGTCAGTTGTTCGAGTCCCGTACAGGCCTGATTTTTTTCAGGTCTGATTTTCGCTCTTGCATAAATAGCGCTATCTACTGCGAGGATCGTTCATCACACGTATCTAATACCGCAGTTCAAAATATATGAACGTCATATATTTATTCTATCTCATTTATCACTTTCACGGGTTTATTACAAACCAACTTAACGGCTTGCTCCCAGTTGGCTCGTTAGCTCAATTGGTAGAGCGCTGCACTAGTATCGCAGGGGTCAGTGGTTCGAGTCCCGTACAGGACTGATTTTTTTCAGATCTGAATTTCGCTATTGCATAAATAGCGCTATCTACTGCGAGGATCGTGCATCATACGTATCTAATACCGCAGTTCAAAATATATGAACTTCATATATTTATTCTATCTCATTTATCACTTTCACGGGTTTATTACGAACCAACTTAACGGCCTGCTC